AAATTTACAGTTGATTTATATATGTCGCGTACGGGCCGCATTTTAATTGCTATATAAATTTCTGGGTGTGAATATCCACGATCGCAGTCACGGTCCAATTTCATTATGGAATTTAATGCCCGCGGTGTGTCGATAAAATGTCGACCACCGCGATTCGCTGTTTTGCGCTTATTTTTAGCCTATCTATTTCAGAATAACATTGCAAAACAGGTTCCAGGACACGCAAAATTGCTAGGATGAAAATAATATATGTGGCATAATAAGCACGATAGTGTCATAAGTGTATTTCAGAGTTAAGCTTAAATATTGTATTTTGTGTTAATTTACGATGCATTTTTAACTTTTATTAAACAAAGGAGTGAATATTTTTTTAGGTAAAAGAATTTAGTTATTTTTGCTGGCTTAATTGCCATTAGTTCAAGTATTTATTTACAATACTTGTAGATATCTAAATATAGACTGTTTTTTGATTGACTTTTTTGACAAGAGTTTCTTGACATTATTTTTTTAGCTCTGTCTGATTAAATTTTATCGGCATACGATATATATCTTATTAATATGCTTTTATCGATAATTTATCAAGTTCCACATTCGAGAATGTTAACGCGTTTATTGTATAATTGATATTCCTACCGACCAGTTTGCCACTTCACGTTGGCGCTTTCCGGGTCGTCTCTGTTAAGGCGTAATTCCGTTGCCGTGATGTTCTTCAATCAAATACAAGTGTAGACAATTATGGCAGGCAGACGCGATAATTAAAGAGAAGTGTAAACTTAAGGACATTGTACTTTCAAGGTACAATTAACGCTCTTTAGAGGCGATCATTGTCATTTTTGCTATCCATAATCCTTTATAGTAAAAATTAACAAGAATGATATATTAAATTATAAATGTTGGAATTAAATGTTTAATAAAAATTTGCGTCTCATATTTTATGTTAAATGTTAAAAACTGTACATTGTTCCTGATTGTTTAATCCATTCTTTTATTTTTACTATTTCTATAGAGTTTTATATATATGTATATCTTAAGGCTCAAGGTTATTAATTTTATTTAACAATTTTGGAATATATTATCTTGTCTTTAATATTTTACGGACAATTTGTTATAACTTCTCTCGCAATCTGTGTACACACGAAATTTTCCATTTGTCTGATCAGATATCCCATTAACCAGCCGTTATCTTTTTTTAACGAATTGTGGGAATACAGATTGCTTATCTGCTCAAAGTGGAAATCATCGATTTTCAGTTTCATATATAGATACGATACGCAGGGACAGTCATCTTCCCAGACGATTGTCTGGGATATAAGACACACGATCAAATCGCGGAGATTTGTGGGTTCCATTATGAAACTTTTCGATTTACGTAAATTCTGATCCACGGTAGACCTCGATTGGGCTGCAATGCTCGGAATAGATTAAATCTTCGTGGAGAAATGGGGCGATCGGATGCGATGAATCAAGTCCCCCAGGCTTTTCATCTCGGTAAAGACGCATCTCTTTATCTTTAAATCATTTTCCCGTGCTACACGTCAGCGGGGATTAAAATTTCATTCGAGCCTGCAATTTCATTTAGATTTACTTGTTTCTGTTTCATTTTCATGTATGATTAGTTTAATCGTGTTTTGTCGACATGATATAAAGGAGATGATTACGGTATTTAATTTATTTGGCTTTTTGCATGCAATTTTTCGCTAAAGCAATTATCGGGATCTTTGCAAAGCGTAGCATAAGGATACAATTTAAAAACGCTTTAAGTGTCATGAATACATATATATAAATAAAATATCGCTTTGCCATGTAATGCTAACGTTTCGTAACTTTATTTTTCTGACACACTTTTCAAATACATCAATTATGTTTTGCAAACTATAAAATACAATTAAACAAAAATGTATTTATATTTGATTTTTTCGAGGTATATACGATCGATGAGGGTAATCGATTATATGTACGATTTACGTGCGAATAGTTCGGAAATTATCTTCCTCTCGCAGCAGAGAGTCTTCTGCATTGAAGCCTCATTCGCACCACCCCGAGGATGGTTGTACGTTGACAACAGACCGCTTACGCGAAACGTTTTCCCTTTACCATCCGCATCTCGGACGCCGTATTGTCTCTGCCCGATCGACATTCGGCTTTATCGGTCCGGCATATTGAATCGGCCGACCGGAAACGCGGTAGCCGAATATGCCTCGAGCTGCCACTTCTCTCCCCCTCATCCTTGTCGATCACCCAGCATCGCGTGCCTCCCTCTAAAACTGACGATTCAGATCTCTCCGAGGGTTCTCGGCTACGATTTGAGACGTTGGCGATGGGGCGATGGGCACGCACGTCGTCCATGGTATTTGCCAAATGTCAAATATCTGCCCCGTAGGAATGAACTGGATATTGCGCCATTGTTCGTCATGCATCGGATGTTTGTCCTCTTCGACATAGTGAGCGTACATTTCTTAAAGAAAATAATCAATATGGCATAACGATATGTAATGTGGTATAATAAATGATAGCTTTTGAGGATTTAATGACGTTAATGAGATATTAGCATGAGACTTTGTTAATACCTCTCTGACGATCGCTATATGATAATTACAACTTTCCGAAAAAAGTTTTTGTTCTATCGCTTAATCCTGCCACGCCTATATGTCTCTTCTCACAGTAAAACAGTAAAACTATTTTCATATGTAAAACTGAGTCAGTCTCTTTATCAGAAATCAATTCGTAGATTAGATTATTTATTAACGCACCAGCAGGAATAGTCAGTTGACGAATTTCTCAAGTACTTGTGAATCACGTAATAACGCGCTGCTTAATTCCATTAAAGACAAATTGCCTTGCGACGGGATTCTGAGTTTTCTGAGCTGTCGGTCGAGAAGTGGAGGAATCGCATGACGAGGGTACAAGATATGCCTAAGATATTAACCACGTCTTTAATTAATAAAGACTTCCAGTTGTGCGACTAATTCGATTTTAAGATTGGAGCTTATATTAAATCAAAGAATCTCGATATGACATTGCCATTACAATCGTAATTTTTGTATTAATTTTCTGTTATTATTTAATGCACGTCTTTAATTTGACATTTAATCTCCATTCATTTCTATTTGACTTTCATTTTTACGTGAACATGATAAAAATGTTAAGACGATTGTAATGTTGCATTACTTTCCAGATGTTATATGACGGTTGCTATCTCGAGTATGATTAATACCAAACTGTGTCATACGTATTCAAAATATGTAAATTGCGCATGATTAATTTGCGATTATTGCACCAGATGTGGTGAGAAAAACATTAACGCTTTCAACACGTAACTACAAAAAAATAAAGCCTGTCTGAGACTCTCAAAGAATGAAATACTCAAGTGACATCAGAAGTTTATTTTATACAATATATGTATGTGTGTGTGTGTGCATTAATATTTGAAATATTCGATCACTCTTCAAATTTATATTGCATCTATGTAACAAGTTTTGTATATCGTAGTTGCGCCTGCAAGTATGACTAAGGCGCGTCTTTTGATAATTGTCACGTCGACACACGCACAGTATCAATAACAGAATGTGGTTTTTGTATCGCTTTCATGAGACACGTTATGCTTTTTTTTGTGGAAACATTTTTTTTTTAAATCAGCATGCATCATTGCAACATATTTTTTCTCAGAATTTATCTTTGTGCGGCAAAAATGCGTTAACACAGTAATGAGAATATGTCAACAACGTTCAAATAATAAACGCAGTGTTTGAATTTTTAAGTGCTAATAACGCCATTGAAATGCAATTGAAATACATCGTCGTTTAAAGGCTAGGTACGGTGAAAGGACTGCTCACAGAAGATTTCATCAGCTACTTTTTGGATGATTTTTTATCAATTACCGAAACCGGTCTTCCACTGCCAGGTTCATCGACAAACGTGTCCCGGCTCACATTACCGAAATTTAATGACTCTATGATTTACAGTACTTGTGTGGACCTTTCACTACACATAATCTTTAAATAATGATGAATTTTAGCTGGTGCTTTCAGCACTTAAAAATTCAATTACTGCACGTTGCTTTTTTGTTGACGTATCCTTATCACACGATACCATGTTAACATGCACTAAGTTGTTGTAAGGAAAAGGAATGAAATTTGTTACCATTGTAACTGACGGTTAACACCTAATAAGGTCACGCTATGTGCGCATCGCTTTTTGCTGCTACAAGGTTACGCCGCGCATTACTTATCTGTCGTTATTTACAAGACACTTGATTGACTCATATATATATTGCACCATTATCTTTATTTTATAGCAATAATAGATATGGTATAAATACAATAAATTTATTGTATTGTATATTACTTTTATACATTTATTTGTTATGAGAAATGTCGAAATTAAAGATTGAAATTATTGATATTAAATATGATCCGATAATATTCAGTTAGAAATAGCAAAACGTCTTGCAATTTTGAATATTATGTAATTTTATTTTTGTTTATTATTATTATTTTTTAATAATTTAATAATTGTTTTGATTTAATAACAGAGAGAGAGAGAAGAGAGAGAGAGAGAGAGAGAGAGAGAGAGAGAGAGAGAATATTTTTAGAAGACATTTAGAAAACGTAGGTGCATTTTATTTTGAATATCTTTCCGCTGAAAAGTATTGATATTACATAAAATATTATTGAATACAATTGTATATATATCATAATTATTATGATATTAACAAGGTTCTTAAAGAGGATATACCTAAGCAGGGTTCTAAAATATGACACAAAGTTTTCTTTAATATTTTCTTTAAGTTAATTTTATTAAAAACATGAAACGTGATATGTTCACAAATTAAAGTCAGTACACTTATTTAATATACTATAATAAAATTATTCAGATTAATGGATACAACTATAGATTTGTGCAACAAGCTTACTATATAATCTGTGAGAAGGTTTTTAACGCCTATTGGATTTGCGTATTATTTTATATGATACATATTGCATATTTGTTTAAAAAACATTTTTTCTGAATGATTAACACTGTTGCGTTAATACACATTGGTTATTTGCATTCTTTACAAATCCGCTTACGCATTCGCATCCAGGAATACATGCCTATAAAACAAAATAAAACAATCAAAAAATAAATATACCATAGGTTTCATTTAAACAAAGTTATTTTAAAATTTCAAGTACATTTTTATAGATTTTATTTGTTAAAATGTACACGTAATATGTTAAACTAAACTTATTATTTATAGGCGCTAGTCGATTCCAGGTGTATTTTTTCGACACAAAGAAAAAAACTTTGTTTTGTTAAAATATTTAACAAGAGATTATTTATACAATTTTTTAATATATCTTTCTCGTTAGAAGATGCAATACTGACCAGTGTACAAACTTGAGGTGATGGATTTTCACAGGTGGGTTGACACTTTGTACCACAGCTATTGTATTGTTCGTTTGGACCGCAATTAGGCGCAGCATCTACACAAACAGAATTTTAAAAGAAGTTAATTATTTATCCTTTATTTACTAAAGTTTCTGTAAAAATATTGTTACTATGTAAAATATTCTTTAGTTGTGCTTTCCCTACTTCATAAATGTTTTTTCTGCAACGAGATCCATAAAACGAATGTCAAATGCTTGTTGTCAGGAAAAAGCTTATTATTTTACGTTTGCAACAAAAACGCAATGTTATCTTTTATTAATTAATAGATAGAATGATAAATTGATGCGAAAGATTTATTCTTTTCCTATTAAATAATATTTTTCCGTTGCAAATACATGCACGAAATTCTTTGAAAAGACTATTAAAACATTCTTTTTTAAATAAAAAAATAGAAAAAAATGGATAGTGAGGCCAATAGATATAATTCACTTTTTTACTTCATTCGTAACTTTACTTGACAGATTCGATTATTTATAATTTTTATTATACAATTTTGCGCAATCTAACACTTGCACAACCTTACAACAATATAAAGATTTATGAAACTCATGAAATTGCAATAAAATTTCGATGTTCAACAATTTCAATTATTGTTGTGTTGAACTTACTGATGGTGGCGACTGCCACGATGAGGAGGAGGAAAGCTACTGCACGGGCCATGTCTTCGAATTTACGTTGCTTGCACTCGTACAACTCGAGATAGACTGATGATAGCGCTCCGTTCCACTCAGCTTATATACGACGATAGGTGGCCTTCTATCGCGACGCATGTGTTGACATCCCGAGATAGACATTTTTTTCGGTATGCTCACTTCCTTCTTTTTTTTGACGGAAACCTCATTGTACAGTTTTGTTACGTGACCGTTGGCTCAGAAACTCGGTCCGTTATCGAAACGTGATACGAATTTTAAACATGCTTTCTTGTCGGTGGACTTGTAATCTAATCCCTAATTATCTAGTGAAATTGAAAAGCAGATGTCTTGGATTTTATTCTTGAAACTAAATGTTCGATAATATCGATGTTGACTTTAGACTTAATAGTTTTTTTACAATCACAAACATGGCAAGAGGATAAAACTGATAGAAGTCTTATCTCAACAATATTTTATCAAATTTACGTCTATGGTCAATTATCATTTGTAATTATAGATCTCCATTAATTATTTATTAATTATCATTTATAATTCTCGTTAGTGTATAATTAGAATGTTCGAAGATAACTGCAGGTTTTAGACATAAAAAAGTTTAAATACCAGTATTAATTCAACCGAGAGTATAATGTATGTAAAACAATTCAGTCACTTGTCTTGCGTTCGAAAATAGATTTCGGTAAGACTCGATGATGCAGTCTCGCTAACGAGGTTGACTATATCTCTCGACCTTTACTACTTGAATTTGGTATTTGCACTCAATATATCTTGTTTCCAAGAAACATATATAATGTCACTTACGAAGATTTACACGATACTTTTTACGTCGATTGTTTAGTCCTAGGACCTAGATTATTGGCGATATATTTAGCACGTTACGGATAAGTATGAGTGAAACACGCGATATTTTTAACATGCGTCCAGTTTTTTTTTAAATTACAATAACTCACAAATATTTATGTTAAATAAATTTTCCAAAAGCTCGTGGAAAATAACGATTGGATGAGTAAATATTACTCCTTTCTTATATAAACTGATATAGATCTGATTGATAATTGATTATCTAAGTCAGTTAATCTTTAAATAAAGTACTCCATAAGAGCACGTATTACAGTACCACTTGTATTACAAGTAAATTAGTCAATAATCAAATAAATAATAAGTCAATTAATCAATAAACGAATTTGAAATAATAGCGCGCTTATTTGCGTTGCTAAAATATTTTTAATGTATTTTTCACAATTTAATATATATCAAATATACTATATATTTATATATTTCTATTTTGATATAATATTTTAATATGTTATAACAATAATTAATTGTAAAGTGATTTTTTAAGATATACGATCAGGAACTGATCAATGACTGATTTATCTCACGCTATAAGATAAAATTACAACGACAAAACTCTCCTTTTCTGTCTATATAATTAGAATATTAAACATAAAAAAAATATATATATATAGAATATACACTTATTGCAGTCACTGAAAACGGAAGGCATATGTTCACACCTAACCGTTTCATAATTATTTTCTTTCATAATATTGATTTTAAAGAATCTACTATTGATTTTCACGCGTTAAATAACTAATATTTTCTACATGCATGCGAATAATATCACATTTTGCATACGTATTTTTTTCATATAAATAAAGTTTAATTATAATACAGTATAATATCAAAGGTACGTCTTTTTTAATTTTATATATTTGCAAAAAAAATGAGCCCTCACGTTTTATTTATATAGGGCAATTTTCTAAACAATAACTTATACGAAATATGCAGATAACTGATACTATTGATGTAGCAACCATATGCGACGTTTCTCTTAATATATATATATTCAATATTAGCTAATATCTTATTCACTCCATGAAACCTTGTTATTTAAACAGCACTGACGTACGAATCTTCATTTGCTTCTCAGAAATGTGACAAGAAGCGAAAAAATATAAATGCTGTCTTCCACATGATCCTTTCCTTTACTCTCCGAATAAATAAAAATCTATTCTAGAACTGATAAAGTTTTTTAATAATCTATATGCTTAAATAAGCTTTTTTTTAAATTTAAAGAACTGATGATATGTAGATTATAATAATTTAGTTATATACACAAGAAAATAATGCAATCTTTTATGCATTCTATAGGTAATAAAAAAAAAAAACAATTAGACATATTGATATGATTTCTCAATGTTATGTGTAATACATTTTTGCTTCATGAACCGATACGTTTGACTTTTACATATTTCTTTTTATAGCATGTTAAATTGTTTTTGTTTCTCATGGACACTTATTATTTCTTTTATCTTTTAAAACGCTATAAATACACATAGTCGTGGAAAAAAAACAACAATTACTGTTTATTTTGCGATAATAGAACTTAATTGTTAAGATAATCGTGCTTTCTGCCTTATATAACAACAAAAAATAGATTCAAGAGTTTCCGTTATTTCAGTATTTTTTTCCAGCTATTGCATTGCATTCTTAGTTCGTACATGCGATACTTATTATTAGTATCGGTTCTTCCGCATTCGAGATACCTAGTCATTCGTATATTACAATGAAAATTTCCTCATAACATAATTAGTATGGAGAAAATACATCTCGTATGTCTGTGCGTCTAATTTCTTGTGGAAAAATTAATCAAAGTTACACAATTAATACAGTTATGGAATCAAGCATTATCTTTAAATTTCTGGTTCTTGCAAAGTATGTTCGATAATATTGACACATAAAATCTGACATGTCAAAATCATGTTCAAAGCATGTTATTACTTTTGATGCACTGCTAGAATAAAATTTTATAATGTATTATAATGTATTAAAATGCATTATAATACATTATATTATTATAATGTATTCATGATTTTATATTTCTAGAAAAGAATTATTCTTAACTTTAATACGATTATAGGATTTAACAAAATAATTAAGCTGCGTGCGTGTGTGCTATAAATTATTTTTACGAAAAAATTGTCTTTATACCCTTCGAAATTATTGAGAGAATAGAGCATAAAATAAAAACTACGTTTATTTTATGCTCTATTCTCTCAATAATTTCGAAGGGTATAAAGACAATTAAAATATTTTTAGAAATATTAAACGCATTACATATAGTACATTATTATTTTTAATAAATAAATTGTATTAAACATACATATATTGATTATTACTTACACTGAATATAAAGAGGAAAGAAAAGAGTCAGCGATTTATTAATCACACTTGCTGGCTTTTATCGCATATTGTTTGTCTTTTCCTCAACTGTCATATTTCAATATGAATCATAAAATACATATTCTTAAACATATTCCCATCCATCGTCTGTTCTTTATACATTTATTTTAAAGTATGTGTTTCCAAAAAAAGAAAAAAACAAGAAGGAATGAAAAAAACAGACACATCATCACTATGAAATTAGTACTTAAAATTAATACTTAAAAATGTATAAAATTGGATTAGCAAACGTACAGAGTATATACTTTATTACGGATTCAATTATTTTAATTGTTTCACTCAAATGATTCTTCAATACTTTTTATCTGCTGTTTTGTGAAAATATTTAATTTATTTGTAAGCTTTTTAAACATACTAGTGCGAAATATCATTGCAATGAATTAAGGTGAATACAAGAATAAAATATTAAAAGTTTATTTCTCGCAAATAGTCATGTTAACTTCGTATAGTTTTTATCCTGGATTCATAAAAATATTTATATTCAAGGCAGGTTTACAGAATTAATTTGTTTACACTGACTTAAATAACATTTACATAATGTTTTAGTAATCCATAAAAAGCAGATGATTTATCGCAATAATAATTTTTTTTCGTAAAAATAATTTATAGAACACACGCACGCAACTTAATTATTTTCCATTTATATTTAGAAAGATTTGTGCTATGCAATTTTTGATTTTTAATCATTGTAAATTTGCACAAAGATTTAGGTATCTAATATTATATAATAGAGAGACAAATATTTATATTCATAATCTTACATCGTTATTTATTTGTCATTAATCAGTTATTATGTAAGCAAACAAAAATTAGATCATATTGCATTTAACAAATGTTATATATAACATATATTACTGACATATCGACAATCACGATTTTTATTTTTAGTAAGAAAATTTTTGTAAAAATCTCGTTGGCGTAAACAAAATTTCTCAGCTCTTTAGTAAACATATATCGATTAAGCGTAGCATTCTGGAGCATCCACACATGTTCCTGCGTTATTTAGTAGATATCCCTCTCTGCATCGGCATCCTGCCACGCATTGCTGAAAAAAGAATAGTATCGTGAAATATTCAGATAATCTGTTTGTGTATAATATATATAAGTAAAGAAATGCTCTGTAATTAATTATACAGTGTTTTCGCTTAAGAAAAAACATAACTTTCAGTGGAATTCGCGTACTTAGCAAAATCAAATAATAAATACCAGGGTGCAGGATTTAACAAAATGCAGTTTTTTATGCTTTGTTCTCTCAATAATTTTGGAGGGTATAAAAATTATTGAAATATTTTTAAAAATATTAAATGCATCACATATAGTAAGTTATATTTTTAATGAATAAATATTAAACATACATATGTGCAAGTTTCAGGATTAGGCCCGTGACAAGTTAGTGGACATGCTGTCCCACAAGTGTCCCACACTTGATTTGGCCCACATCTCTGCGGACCTCTCTGGGCAATAGTCGTGCCTGTGCGTATGCAGGGCACAAAATATAGTCAAATTCAAATACAATATAAAATTACAAGTAAAAAAAATCAAGATTTACAAGAATTGTTCATGAAAATTCGAATTAATTGCGAACTGAGGAAACGTAATAAATTCTTGCGTAACGCAAAACTTACTGCAAAGCACTCCAATCACAACAAGCAATACGAGACTAACGCGAGACATGATTAATAATCCTTGAATCTTATTTTCTGAACTGATGCTAGCGGCAAAACGCGCGCACTTATATACCGACCAGTATATAGTGTGATCCTGGTACCCACTCCAAGAAATTCTTTAAGCTGAGATTATTGTTGTAAAAACGTGACACTGGAAAAATCAAGTTTCTCAGAAGTGAAGAAGCTATTTTTCAATTTGACAGAAAATTATTGATTAATTAAATAATATTAGTAAAAAAAAGTGTATGTGTCATATACTTAATATTATTAATTGTCATTTTTGTTTCATAATCTTTATAAATGATCCTTTTTGAGTTGTGATGATTTTTTTATGAAGTTAAATTAGTTCACTTTCGATGTTTGATAGAATACTACTTCCGCCGTTTAACTTATATAGTAACAACATGAAAATCACGTTTCTAGAAGCAAATATGCGATATGTACACTTAAGATAAAAATTCAACACTCTGTCCAATTAGTAATTTTGCTCTACGAATTCTGCAGAAAAATTTTGACTGTCGTGCACTTAGCTACTTTAAGATAAAATTATATAAGTAATCTTGTCCTATGAGTTTTTCAGAAAGACGAACACATTTTTTTTAATCCTATAAAAAGGGAACCCTCGGGGTACAGCGGTAGTTTTTTGAATTCTTCAAAATTATTCAAAATCATAGTATCTTACAGTTATAATTAGTATATGTTTATAATATTTATAATATAATTAGTGTGAATTTATAATATAAAAAATAAGACATATTTTGTGAAGATTAGATAATAAATTTTTTATTTTTTTTTATTTTTTTTAATAATAATAACTCGCTAATTTTACAGTAGACCCTGATCAGCAGTTCGCGTTTTGAAAATTATTATTATAACCTATTACGTCAGCACAGAACTTTATGGTTACGCATTATATACACATAAAAACTGCGTTTATTACCGTTAACGATATTACTCAGAATTCCAACGTAATTACAATCGTAATGTTAGAAAATATTATAAAAAGAATAACGTACAATTGCTACGTTCATTTTTATGCGCTGTTATTTTTATCCTATGTTTTTATGTATTTTTTTTAAGCGCATCTAAAAGTAACCTTAGATTCGCTACTGCACAGGAGATTCAGAAATAGCAACTATTAGCGGAAAAGATATATGGAAGGAAATCTCTATATATATTTTTATTAACATATGTTATTCGCAGCGGCTCGTTAGATATGTCATTTCTAATTATTCTCAGATGTTATTCCCCGTCCGTATGTAATTGCGTTCTGTTTTTCTATGCGGTATCTGTCAGCGATCAAAGATCGGTCGGTTAGAAAAAAAAAGTAGCAAGACACATAAATACGTCTCACATAAATACGTCGTCGTTAATAACGTTTTAGAACTTTAGAATTTAGCGAACTAAATTACTGATGTTCAGTAATTAGAGCCGGGACGATACAGGCAGGGCATAGCTCTCGTTCGATCAATCGGGAAATTTCAGGCTTGCAAAACGCGTACGTTGTGTTCCACTTTGTCGGCGTAAGCTCGACGGTCGCTCAATCCTCCGGCCGCTTCCCGAACACGCTTTTACCCTAAATGCCATTTCGCCATCGGCGAGATGGCCCAAGTGAATCAGTCTGACCCTTCTGCTTCCCCTCATTTTCTCCTGGCACATAGTTTTTTTTTTATTTCACGTAAAGTGCGCCGAGAATCGAGTATCCGGCGATTCAAATCAAATTTATTAGAATGGGGAATTGAATTATTGTCTGTGTGTAAAACTCAACTTTGCCGATTGTAACTTTTTTTTTCTTTCTCGGATTAAGGCGACGATAGAATAATTTATCTCAAAAGATGACATACTCAGATAGATCATAAAGTGCAGTCTATCTACGATATCTAAAAAAGTAAGTCAATTTATTTACATTACTGTTTGCGATATAAATAACAAGTGTTTCATTCATATTAAACGCGCGTAACTCTTGCGAAAGAACTTTATCTTATTTTTTAGTCCAAGAAACGAGAAGCTGTAGATTACCGCTTCGCGATACCATAATAGAGATTCGAAGCGCTAGGCGGACGCATGAACGAAAACAACGACGAGCCGACTTAATTACTTGGAAAACCCAGCGTGTAATGTCCCATTATTGTATACCATTCTCTCGGCTGTCTTACTCAGCATTTCACGACGCACCGCCATTTGGCTCTGACAGCGGAAAACTCGATTCGGGGAGTTCCTCGAGATTTCTCGCTTATTCGCCTGCCTTCGCCTTCCGGTCAGCCTTCGTACTTCCTCTCACTGTACATCCTACCTCGTTCTCGCTGCTTTCACCGTTCAGCTTTTGTATCGAGCAGCAAGTAGACGATAACTATCGTGACTCTGTCCTACTGACCCCATCGTGACTTTACTGACCGCAATCCGGCAAGCGATATGCACAAATTACAGAATATTTCTAGTACTCTACTCAACTTTTTATTATTATTTTTATTTTTCATGTTATAAAATCTTGCTTCTCTATTATTCAGCATGCGCAAGGTATACAAAATCAAATTTGTATACTTATGCAACGGCAATTTCTGTTCGTTAATTACTGATCGTTAATTACATATTATGCGAGGAATATACGAAAGCATGCATAAAAAACTTATGCAATGGCAATTTCTGTTTGTTAATTACTGATCGTTAATTACATATTATGCGAGGAATATACGAAAGCATGCATAAAAAACGCGCACATGTGCCGCAGATAAGATATCCTCTGTTGCAAACATCTGTTTGCAAATATAAACAATGTTGTGTACGTGTTACATATATGACATTCAAGTAATAACGCGCACCTTAATTTTCCAGTGAGGTTAACTGATAGCGACCCCGTTTTTCCGTTGCGTATAATGCAAAAATAAAAGCGCAAGAAAACAACGGTCGTATGACATAATCCGGTATAATACCTACACACCCGTTTCCCGAGATCCACGATAGTCTGCGTATCGCATATATTATAAGACGGGGAATCACACGTTGCCAGGCAGACAGTATCTCTATTATACCTCGACCTTCCCCGTTGCGCGTGTCATACAGCATGAAGGTGACTGAACGAATTAGCTTTGAAAAGGAAAAAGAAGATTCCCAGATGCATTATCGTTACCTCGCTCATTCAGCGGCAGGCACGAAATTATCTTTAAATAACTTACCTTGGCTACCGCAGACGCGAAGAAAAAAAGAGCACTTACAAACGGTGAATTCATATATATGAAAAATTACAATTCCATGTGCACGTTTCGCGCGCGCTAACCTTCACGAAGAAGTCATATTATGTATGATAATTACTCGCAGGAATTTCCAAACATCTTTATATACGAGCGATTCCACGTTCGCCAAATCGAACAACAAATAAGTATTTGTTCCAAGTTGTTCGTTTTTATTTGCTGTGTTTTAATATGGAATCGTCCATATATAAGATCCTTGAAACAACGAAGTCACACCAGTCGTGCGAGTTACTCAGAGTTGTGAATTGTGCAGAGTTGAAAAATCAATTATGTCTCGCACAGCGATAATATTACTCATTGGATTGGCGATATTTGTTGCAAGTAATATGCATATTTAATAATGCTATTGATTTTTTTGTATTTTTATTTTAAAAATGCTGATGTAATGTAAATTAATAATGAATATATTTTTTGTTCTCATCAGAGTTTTTTAAATGACTTACTAAGCACAAAAAATCTAAATTATATTCATTTATATAAATTCTTATTAGAGAATCAGTATAATTTATCTTTCTTTTTTTGCCGATGCGATGCACGTAATAAATACACGAAATCTAATCGCTTTTAGACACAATTGCAACAGAACTTGAATGTACTCGCGAAAATGAGGAGTATCAATGTGGATCGGCCTGTCAAACAACTTGTAACAACTTGGGTCAATTTTGTCCTATAGTAAACGTCGTAAGTGCATTAATGAATCGATCTTTATTTTAAATTATTTATATAAAAATTTACTTTGCAATTAATGCTCTGTATATAATACATGATATAATTAATTTGTAAACTATGGGAATATGAATATATTTTTATTATAATATTTTAGATATTATTTCTGTTTATTAATATTATTATTTTTATTAATTTTTTTTAGAAATGTAACGATGCTTGTTACTGCAAGCAAGGATATGCGCGAATTCAAAACGATACTGGTCCGTGTGTTTCTATAGAGAGTTGTCCCAAAGAAGGGGAAAGTATTCTAGAGAATAAATAAATTCCCCGATGAGAAAATAAATTACATGACTTTTGTGTTGATTATTCACTTCTATTTTTATTGCCCACGTTGTTAACAATTATTTTATCTAACATTATATCTCAATATGTTTCAGTTGGATATAAATATTTATACTTGTAAAATGTATAAATAATTTTGGTATAAATATATTTTATACATTAATAAATTAAATGTATTTTTCTATACATAAAAATATTTTAAAAGTCCAGTAATTTTTCTCTCGTCCGATATTTAGTTATTATTTAATATGAATGATACAGATTGTACTACTTAATAATAAAAAATATTTACCAATATAAATAGTGTGATGTATTTTTCATTACATTTTTCTAAGAGATATAATATTGAAAATATTATTTTTTATATTTAAAATAACATTTTAGATAAATTGCATTGTACAAGTAACAACCATCGCTACTGTACAAATAATTAGACTTCTTAAGGCATCGAATAATAGGTTCAGTCAACATCATATAAATGCTAATAAAATGCTAATAGAAGTTTCAGAATTGCGAAAACGCTTATCACTCTGCCAACAAGAATACAAAATTAATGACGAAAACATAAATTCTTAACAGAATGAACGTCACAATAGCCTCAAAAAATCCGGATTATGCTGCAAGAACAGTTTATGCATAAAAGATCGAATGAAGCCAATTTATTCTTTTTATCTCAAAGATTAAATTATTTTTATATTTTTTATTTGCTGCATACTCTTCCAACTTATGAGTTTTAGAGAGAAAAATACAAAATAAAAGATACCACTTTTTTTACTTTTTCTTATCTCACTGCAGTATCTCATTTATTTATTTTTTTGTCAATTATATGATTGATATTATTATTTATCTCTTCAGTACGTTGCGTATTGATAATAATTGTACTGATAATAATTTTATAAGGTAACGACCTTGCCACCACGATCGTCTAGGTATAACAGGCAAGTGAATACATTTTCCGCGCATCTTCCTCGATGCGCCGAGCGCAGATTCGAATGAAGCCATTCTTCCGGAATATTGTTCGCTAACAAGATAATAATGCTCGACTCAGAGTACACACGACGGAAGTCGGAAACCCCGTCTTTCGACGGGATCGGCTTCGCGTTTGCTTTAAGCCGCTTTTCGGATTAGCAAAGCTTCTCCACAGTCGTCGTCCGGTTACTGACGGCCCGGTACGCCGAATGAAGTAACCGGCTCGATGTTCGAACGTACAATCGCGTAAGACAAACAGTTCGGCCGGTGTTCCGAAGAGGTGCTCTAATATTTGGCCCCGTAATGTAATCCAGAAGCCGAGAGAGGAGGACGTTCGCGAGAGTGTCCCCCGTATCTCTCTTCCACGCCTCGGCAAATATCATGAGATAGCTTCGAAATTTCTGACGTCGTTCTTTATACATGTTCACCATCGTATTTAGTGACGTGGCTCGCGATTAAAATGCACTGGACAGCGCGCGATTACGAAACCGTTGCTCACGCGAGCGCGATTCATACGCTCTGTCGATCGCATTAACGCCGTGGGCGATCGGCGAACGATGCACGATGCACGATGCGAGAAATGCGAAGGTACACTTGATCTAAAAAATCTGCGCACATCCGATATCAGTGATAAAAGGAAAAAGAATTTATAAAACATCCGACGATCATTATCATTTTTTGATGTTCCTATATTTTTTCGGTACTCAGAATATGTATGTTTTAAAATATTTTGATTTTTCTTTTTATGCATTTTTAGATTCTTATGTTCTTTATATTATTATTTTGTTATTTCTTTATATGGACTAACATAATAATATAATAATAAATTATTGCAATTTACAGACTTCCGATTTTAACAATTAATAAAAACAAAAAATTCTCCCTGAGTTACATTTACAAAAATTAAAGGCAATACAGTATTTCTGCAAAACGCGCGTGCGTATGCACATTTTTTTTGTCAATTTGCATTGAGCAAACGTAGCCCAGTGTAACTTTTGTGAGTAAGTGTAGCTCGAAAATGAAGCGCACACGTGGTGAATCCAGCTCGAGTTTCGCATGCCGCACGACACGTGCGACGATCGAAACCCTCTCGTGCCAGGAGAGCATGAGAAAGAGAGGGGCAGATTCGTTGACGTACACCAAGAGAGCAAGGAGAGATGGACGCCGGTGCCTGAGGGGTTGCACGAGTTCCTGCCGGCATTTGTTTAATTGGGAACCGACATGGTCGCCATGGCACCCCTCTCGATCGACCATTTACCCGTCCACATGAAATCTCTTCGAAATTCACGAGCGGCGTACGAAAGCTGCTAGCAGAATGCAAACAGTTATCCGTATTTCCCTAGCTCATATCGCGTACACGGAATCGCAAGAAATTCAATAAACGGAAAGAGTGTATTGTAAAAATATATCGCAAAAACGCAATTTCACTTGGTTTTAGAAAAATACATAAATGTAACATGTTTTGTATAGCTGAACTTTCGAATGCGTAGTTTGTGAAGCTTTAGAGAAGTGTACCTTCATGCGATATTACGAGCTTACAGCCCTTTGTTAGTTTACGTGTCGTGCAAGCTGCTATCGTGAAGGCCGACCACGAGGGGTGGGATTGTGAAATTTTCTCTAACCAAACATGGCCGCCAGATCAACCCTCCACAAAGCGACGTCGATGCGAAACTCCCGCTGCCCTGCCGGAGGTCCCGTTGCAAGGAAACGAGGGTTGAATTCGAAATGGTTAGAGCACCACGTTACGTACTGGCACGTGTACCATTATCGTGAATTTATTTCTACTTGATTCTACCACTGATTCTCGCTGTAAAACTAACGATATACCGCGAGAGTAAAATAATTGGGTATCTCAATGAGAGATTTTTTCCCATTGCAAGACATGAAAGTTTCTTTGTAAAATGTCGATTGAAATATTGATATTGAAAAAATATAATCAATTAAACGCAACGCGGCTGGAAAGCAAAGTTGCGACCGCCCTTTGAAATTTTCCTCAGTCTTTTAAAGGCTGGAAAAAAAACCGGTTTTTTTCAATTTTTCCGCGGATTTTTTCGGTTTCTTTCCCAAGGGATAGAAAAATTCAATGGAAAACTTCATGTACATATTCGTAAAACCTATCACATTTTACATTTATAATACTTTTCAAAATTTAAAAATTTTATAACGAGCATATATTTATTGCTGATAATGTTAAATACTAAAGAAATAAGAAGCAAATTATGTAAAAATAAATAAAAAAAACAGAGTTAATGTATTTTTCAAATAAAACGTATGGCTCTTAATTGACAATAATTAATAATCAAAACTCTTTAAAAATACATAATGTAAATATCAATTTAAGTTAATCTTTACACTAGTTGTTAGAATTGCGTTTCCTAAAACAGTTTATTTAACAATAAATAAGCCTTATCTTAAGGAATATAGTAATCAAATGCAAACATAAAAATTAACTCATTATTAATTCCAGCGTTTATACGTGGTATCATATTTTAATAATGCTATAAAATACGAGAGTTATAACTTATAAAAGTTATAAACTTATATTTACAATAAAAAATTATATAATTTAAATAAAAAATTTACACATTTTAACGAGCAAATTAAAATAAATCACTTACATTACTTTCTGAATCTCAATTCATATTTAATATAATGAAAAATATTAAAAATTAAATAGTATATTGTTTACATAGCAATTTTTCGCAAAAAAAACCAATTTTTCGGAAAAAAACCGAAATTTTTCTGGTTTTTTTCCACCAATTTGAAAAAAGCAGTCAGAATCGTCCGTCTTCATTGCGATCTTCTTGAAATTTCGCAATGTAAATACATTTTCCCCGGGTTCTCGGTCGACGTGATAATCCGACAAAATGTAAATACTGTCCGCTGTATGAATATTCAATTAACGGACAACAGCTGTGCAAACCGGTATGTTTGTTTATACAGGCTACTGAGGATTATCTGCAATTATTGAAGGCATATTTTATAATTTTCGTTTCTCGAAAGCAGGAGAATCTCTTCGATGACAAGATTATATCGCCGAGCAATTTATGTCATGTTTACACATTTATGTTCTTTGGAGTCTGTAGCTGAGTTAATAACGATTATGTAAATTTTAACAAGACATACGAAACTACACGTATTATTCAACGTATTCTTACGCCGGTATTCCGGTTATTATTTTGGCAACTGAAGGACTCTGCAGGTACGCGGGACGATGTGACTCACGAGACTCTTTCAGACATCGCATTTTATCGTATTTAAAGCAGCATTAGATTCCCAAGATGATTATTTACTGTTTACGCAATGCTAGAAATTTTTCACAATAGTCCAGACGCAAAAATTGGTCGAAAAGAGGAAGAAATTTCTGTTCTCACAAGTGGCTCGTTATCATGCTTTCCTTTTGCCCGAGATTCTCTGTTCTGTTGTTGGCGTCTTTCTGAAATAAGCGTTTATTCTCTCTCTCTCTCTCTACCGATACCTAAATTAATTGGAAAAATGATTGGATTTCTCAAGTGTGTCCTCAATAGACAGACGGTCATTACGACATCCGCAGAGTGGAACGAGTTTTTTGTTTATCACGAGAACCTTGCAAAAGTTTTATGCATTCGTTTTGACACAAAAAAAAGAACCTGTTCTGGTTTAATTGCAGAAATAAATTAGAAGTAAGCATTAGGCAATGACGAACGATTAGTAATCGTGTCGTTTATTATTGCATTGCCATCCATATTTGGATACAAATCGCTAAATTTTAGCGTTGTATGCTGTTGTGTGTGTCGCAAGAATTGCGATGATTATATAACATTGTTTTCAAAAATATTTTTTGCGTGTTACTTAGATAATTTTTAGTAACTTAATTGGCTTGTTATATTTTGTACAGCTGTGCAAATTTCGTACAAGTTTTTGGCGGAGATGGCAATTTTTTTTTTCTTCTTCTTTTTAACCATGTCACTGAATAAATCCTGCTGCTCGCGACGCGATCGCGATCTTAGAAATGGTGGCACATGACATTTACACCGCGCCTACATTATCGCCGTGAGACACGCGACGCATAGTGCCACACGCGCCGCGAATAATTCACCCTGGCCTCGTACATCTTCGGGAACTTTATCTTGGAAAAAGGGTGAGCACATTCCGAACGTCACGTTGTTCCAGTCGGCTACGTGAATACCAAACGGCGGGCTGCATATAACTCAGTAAA